AGCTCCCAGCAGGGGAACGTTCTGGACACAAATTATGACATTTTTCCTTGGGGCCTTTTATAAAATTCCTTCTGTCCTTCTGAAGTCTCACTATGCTAATATAAATGGAGGTAGCTTAGAGTTGTACTTACCTCCCTGTCTGTATCACAAAAGAATGACTCATGTAAAGCACAGCATACCTCATGGAATCTGACAGTATTTTTTTTTGCGGAACCAGGGATTGAACTCCAGCCCTTATGCTTGCCAGGGAAGCACTTATTGTACTGAGCCATCTCCCCAGCCCCCAGTATTTTTAATTGCTTCCAGTGCCACATTGGTTGCTTTTTAAGATTTTAAAAAAATATTTATTTGGTACAGGATGTCTCTACACAGCTCAGACCTGTAGTGATCCTCCTGTCTCAGCCTCCCCAGCACTAGAATTATAGGTGTGTACCACCACACCATTTCAGTAGCTGGGGTGGCGCACTGAGGGTTCCAGGGCAGATACAGCATGTAGTACTAGAGATAGAACCTAGGTCCTTGCGCTTGCCTGGAAGGCACTTAGAACTCCAAGGTATCTCTCTAGCCACCTTCTTTTGGTTTTTTTTTGTAGTTTGTTCAGCCTGCCCTGGGTGCGGGGCTGGCATGGCATGTGGTGCTGGGGATCGAACCTCGGTCCCTAAAGCTTGCCTGAGCAGGTGTTTTAGACTACTGAACTATCTCACCAGCCCTCCCCAGCCTTCTCCTTGCCTGTTCTGTTTAAGAGAAAGCACATCGCCAGTGCTGTTCTCTAGCTCCTACCAGCCACTAATTTTTTTTTTTTTCTTTTCGACTTGAGACAGGGTTTCCTATGCAGTTCAGGCTGGCCTAAAACTCACTTTGTAGCCCAAGATGGCCTCAAAGTCACAGCGATCCTCCTGCCTCAGTCTCCTGAGTGCTGGGTTTACAAGCGTGTGCCATCATGCCTGGCCCACCCACTAATCTATATGGCCAGAGCTCCCAGGCCTCCAGTTCTAGGAGAGCAGGACCAAGTCTCTGTCGAGAAGCATGCTCACCTGCCTCCCTCATTGCAGACGAAGGACACACTCGGTGTTGGGGTAGGGTGGCAGGTTCAGCTGGTACTTCTTTTCCAAGGTAGGTGGTACAAAACGACCCCCCAAGTAATGGTAGCGACCAGTAAACTGGGTGGCAGACTTTTTGGGTGCTGTTAAGGAGATGAGCATGTCTGGTTGGATCCCTCCAGAGTTTCCTTTTTCCACATCCCATCCTGAGGGAATGTCGATGCTGGCAATGGGCACAGTGAGTTCATGCAGGACACTCAGGATGCTGCGGAATGGCTCATGAACATCGCCTTTGAAGCTGAAGCCAAAGATAGCATCTACCACCAGCTCATAGAGCTCATCAATCATCATGGGCTCTGAAGGCATTTCACTGAGGAAAGGGATGTCCATTTTCTGACACTGGGTCACCAGTGCAGTAAAGAGCGGTTTGTTAGGTTTCTTGGGGTAATAGATGGTTGGTTGGTAACCAAAGAGTTTGAGGTGTCGGGCACAGACCAGGCCATCTCCTCCGTTATTCCCCGGGCCACAGATGACCAGGACAGCAGGGGGGCTCTTGGACATGGCCGCGGCAGGATACGCCTTCGCGATGGCTGTGGCGCAGCTCAGGCCAGCCAGCTCCATGAGTTGGTCCACACTGAACTGGTACTCGTTAAATAGCTCCTGGTCCACGGCCTGCGCCTCCTCCTGGCTCAGGTATTTCACCGCCGCGCCCGCCATGACTTCGGAGTTCCCACGGCCGGCAGAGCTCAGTCGCCTGGCCCCCCATCACAGACCTGCTCGGCAAACGCCTGCCTGCCCTCACACTCGTCCCAGCCGCGACTCACCTTATATTCTTACTAAAATGGTTTTTCCCCCTTTAGGAGGGGACAACAAAAATAGGAAGGATTGACTCAGACCAGGAACAAGACATTGGTAAGTAACAGTGACTGTGGGTCTGACACTTTGTGACAGTTATTTGCGTAAAAGGTCTCTTCAAAGGATAATGCTCTGAGATAAGTCTGAAGTATCAAGTATCTCCATCTCTTTCTGCTGTGAGGCTTTTCATTGGGTGGAAGAGATGAGCACTGTGGGAAGATTTCTGCTCTGTGTGGTCTCAGGCAGTGGTTCTTCCTTTCTTGTTACAATGGGAGATCTTCCAAGTATCAGATTCTTTTTTTTTGGTTGGTTTTAGTTTTGTTTTTTTGAAATGCTAGGCCATACATGCTGGCCATGAACTGTGTAGCTCAGGCTGGTTTTGAACTCACAGTGATATTCTCTAAGTACTGGGATTGTAGATGAATGGAGGAGGTGTCCCTTACATTGTCCTCCCCACTAACTGACAACCATCTCTTCTCTAGTACTTCAGGGCCAGTGGATTGAGAGAGACCACTGCACAATCACCAGCGCCTGTGGGGTAGTTATTCTCCGGCCTGTGCAGGGGGCACGCTGCACAGTCAATGGCCGAGAGGTCACTGCCTCTTGCCGTCTGACACAAGGTAAGACTCTCTACAGCTTGGTATGTAAGCAGGATGAAGGGCCATCTTCAATTTCATGGGCTCAGAGAGCTCAGAGGAGCAGGCTTTAAAGATGGATCACCCAACCTCTGCAGCCAGAGTCCTGATTTCCTAATGTAATCTTCAATCCAGGACCAGAGAAAGGAGAAAACTTTCTGAAAACTGTTCCTGTGTGTGTTACTCTAGTTTTTAGGAAAGTCTCTCAGCCTCACTTTCCTCATCTATAAAGTGGAGATTTGAGAGGATTGAAGGAATCCTATTTGTGTAAGATTCTTACTACCATCACTTGGCACTTAGTAAAGGTCCATCATTATAATCATAATCACTGTTACTAGTCTACTCAAAGTCTGCCCTTTGAAACTGAGCTTAGACTCCTCTTCTATGAAGCTATCTCTTACTATGCCTAGGTGCTGGATCTTAGAGTACAGTAGCTTTTGATATATAATTATTAGATAGCTATTTTATGAACTCAAAGTTTATCAAATAGATGATGGTATCAGTTTTGCCCACAGAACAGTACCCTGCAAAAAGTATATGTTCAAAACACTGTCTGCTGGCCGAATTTTCATCTGTCTCTGTGGTGCAGGAGCTGTTATAACTCTGGGGAAAGCTCAGAAGTTTCGATTCAGCCATCCAGCAGAGGCTGCTGTACTGCGGCGGCAAAGGCAGGTTAGTGGTTGTGGGTTCTGAGGTGCTGCTAGCCATGCTGTTTCTTTTTCTTTCTCTTCCTTCCTTTTCCTATCTTCCATTTGCTCTTTTTCCTCCTCCTCCACCTCCTTTTCTAGCTCTCTCATTCTTGTTCTTCCTTTCTTGTTGTTTTTAGACAGGGTCTTGCTCTGTAGTCTCGGCTATCCTTGAACTCACATTCCTCCTGCCTCAACCTCTTGAGTGCTGGCATTACAGGCATGTGCTGCTATGTATGAATGCTGTCTCTTCCTTTTAGGAGAGGAGCTTAAACTTTGCCCTGATGTACTGGCTTGGGATTCACGCAGTGTCACTGTGCCTTCTTCTTTGTTTCAGGTTGAAGAGGCCATTGGCAGCAATGGCTCTTTGGAATGGTTGGACTTGGATGCAGATGTTACTGCCTCCCACTTGGGTCTCTGCCCTTTCCTTTGGAAGGAAAGGTGAGAAAAAACTGCTCACACCAATGTGGAGCCTCCTGGGTTCATTGCAGCATGGAGCAGAGAGATATCTAGTATAGCAGGCAGGGTCTGAGTGATGCTGGCTGTGAGTCAGCCTGGGCAGGTGATATGAAGATTCTGGGTTGGCAGCTGAGTCTGTATTGTCTTGGCCCTCACTGGTTTCCTCCTTGGCATTTCAGCTGTCTTCATCCCTGAAGGAAGCATGCCATTTGACATTCTTATGACCACTTTTCTCTCTCAGCAGAGCTAAGCGAGAATATTGAGCAGTATTGGCTGGCTTGAGTTGTGGGGATTGAACCACAGCAACCTGAGCCTGACTGCTTTGTTGAAGCAGCCACTTAAAGAACTGAGCTAAGGGGCAGGCCCCCTATTGAGCAGTATTTGCAGATGTCTTTGATGCTGCTTTTGGACTTTTTACAGTTCCTTTTAAATTCTGGCCTGCTGATGTATAAGTTCATAGCATCTCTGTTAACCTTCAGAATTGATGGCGACTTCTAAAATACTAGGGAGAGAATCCAGGGATATTGTACTACTGATCTGTATCTCCAGTCCTTTTTATATTTTGTTTCTTAGGCAGCGTCTCATTAAATTGACCAGGCAGTCCTCGAACTTGTGATCCTCTTGCCCCAACCTCCAATATAGCTGGGATTTACAGGCCTTTGACACCACATCCAGCTGGGTATTTAAAGATAGTATATGACTGAGAGCCTTTCATTTTTTCTTATCATAACCAAAAACCCAGAAGTAGGCATAAAAGCAGCAAGGAAAAATATAAAAATATCTTCTATTCCCTTACACCCAGTTTACCTGTACTGTGACTTCAAAGGCTTGAGTCAAAGTTTTATATTAATTGATGGTTATCGCTTTTCTATTTTTTTTCCTTTCTTTCTTCCTTTCTTTCTTTCTTTTTTTTTTTTTTTTGTGAAACCAGGGATTGAACTCAGGCCCTTGTGCTTACCAGGCAAGTGCTTATTCTACTGAGCCATCTCCCTGGCCCCCAAAATGGCAGAAAGACTTTTTTTTTGGGGGGGGGCCACTCAGGATGCCTTCAGGGCAGGTCTGGTTTGGCTTGAGGATGAGAGGATCGAACCACAGCATACTGAGCCTGACTGCTTTGTTTTGCCAGGCACTTAAACACCTGAGCTAATGGGCAAGTCCCCCGCTTTTCTATTTCATGGTCATACTTCACCCATTTCTATTTAGAGTCCTTTCTCAATGTCTAGATGCTTGGTGATTTGGTTTTGATGCTAGCACTTCCTATGTACTCCCAGGGCAAAATGACCTGTGGTGAGATTTCCTATAGAAAAATTGGGTAGGAACCATAATGCCTATGAGATTACTGGTGTTGGTAGAGGGCCACATACCTGTGGTTAGGGTTCTTGGTGGGTTCTAATATCCCTTGGTCCATTTAGAGGATGCCTGATGAAGACATTTGGGGTCTGACATTAGTAGGAAGTGGGTTAGATTGAGGAGAAGGAAGTGTGAACATTACCATGTCCTCACAGTTGGGTTTCTTCAGTTTGCAGGGTTCTGGAGTGGACATTAAGTGAGGATGATTCTAGGGTCAAATGTCTGGGCCCTTGGGTAAAGGGTAAGGTGGAAGGGGTGACATAGGATGGAGAGATCAAGGCCAAGGTAGACTCAGAACTGTAGCCCGACCTCTTGCTTTATTGTAGTTTTCTCCCCCTCCTGTGTAGCGTAGTCTTTTAAAAGATCTTTTAAGTAAAGTTTCTGTTGGGAAGACACATTGAAGGTGGGTTTTCCCACAGTTGGATGTTGACAGAAAACAGCTGTGTGACTTAAAAGAGTTGGGAATGCAGAGGAGATCCATTGTTGTTGGTTGAAAGTGTTGCAGGCTAAGCCAGAAGTTCATAGGAGGGAGGAAATTGTAAAGATCAGAGCAGAAATTAATGCATTAAAAATAAAAAAAATAAAAATATTAATGTATTGAAGACTGAAGAGAAAAAAAATACAAAGAATGAGATAATCAAAGAGTTGGTTTTTTTTAAAGATTAAATAAAATTGACAAATCCTTAGGCAACCTTATTTAAAAAAAAAAAAAAGGAAAGAAAAGACCCAAATCTATGCAATTAGGAATTAAAAGGGTGAAATCACAATGGACCCTGCAGAAATCGAAGATCATTTATACCTTTTTTGTTTTTTTTCAAAGTTTTATTGATAAACAGATAGCAATGAGACAGTTTCAAATAAAATCAGAAGTACAGTTTCAACAAATAATACACTGCATATATTCTTCTTAGTGGTTAATTGCTGTACAAGATGCGGACTTGTGATCCTATTTACAAACACCATTAGAACAAATCATTCTATTCATTAAGAGAATGCAACTATATCATTTATACCTATTTTGAAAACTTGTTTTTTAATAAGATGAAAAATGCAGGAGAAATGAACAGATTCCTAGATGCATACAAATTACCAAAGCTGAATCAAGAAGATACAGAAATTCTAAATAAATACCAATCAATGAAATTGAAGATATAATTAAAAACCTACCAACAGCAACAAAAAAAGTCCAGGCCCTGACAAATTCATTGTAGAATTCTGTTCAGATGTAATACATCATATTAACAGCCAAAGACAAAAACCATATGATAATCTCAACAGATGCAGAAAAAATCTTTTTTCCCCTTTCTATATTTTTAATTTATTAAAAAATAGCAGTACAAATGCTGTGATCAGTATTAAAAAAGGATTCAAATTTTTCAAGAATGAATTTTATAAATAATTCTGCAGTGAAAGGGAAATAGCACCCTGATACATAAAACTTCTAGGATTTTAAAATTTTAAAAACAAAAATGTTAACATTAAATTCTTTCCAGTGTTCAAATAAAAATCAACTTGTGCAATCTCCATAACAAAATGTGTCCTTGGTGCACATGTCTTGGGCTCTTGAAAATGTTAAAATTTCTGAAGTTTGAGCAAAAGAGGAAGCACATAGTGAATCTTTTTTCCAAAAAGATTGCTTTCAGGGGCCAGGGAAATGGCTCAGTGGAATAAATGCTTCCTTGGCAAGCATAAGGGCCTGAGTTCAATCCCCGGTTAAAAAAAAAAAAAA